CCCGGGACAGGTGCTGCGTTCCAGTTGGAAACCTTCAGCAACGGCACCCGCCGAATCCTCAAATGGATATCGGCCACCACCCTGAGGCTAGTGGCAAAAAAATCAACCTGTCCTCTGCAATCTGCTAATCAACCGTGGGCGCTGCTCTCACACAGACCAGATACAGCGTAACGCACGCCATTTTCACGGAATTCACATGACGCGAACACGCACTTCCCAATAATATCATTAACTACTGGTAATTTGAGTCTCGGAGTCCCTATCCAGGGAGGCGGCAGTTGCTCACCCGACTTAGTTTGCTGGTCACTCGTTTCGTAACTCATTGCCAGGTCATACACTGCGCATCTCTTGGTCGCTTCCATTCAGCTCATTTGCACTCGGATCAGCTTGCATTAGAGTCTTACCACTAAAGATATAATCACTAGTTGCGATGTATCAACTTGGAAATGGGGGGCGTATTTCACGGCTCAGATTCTCGCACTGGATGTCTCGATGTTCCGAGAGGCATATAAACTCCACCGGAGTGAATTCGCTTCATTTGTTGTTGAAGGTCTTCCTCATTACCAAACGATTGTTCGGTCAGCTTACAGCAGATGTCAGCAGTTCTGTCGAGCTTTTCTTGGTGTCTCTTATTCACTGACAGGTATGGCGATGGTTGGCCGCATGGTAAGGCACTGAGAGGTCCTTCCTGATATGCTTGTCTGGTCTGGTCGTCCGTTCGGTCAGCATTGGGGCAGTCATCCTTCGCTCTCTTTTCTGACTGTCTATTAAGTATATCCGCTGGTTGATTATAGGAGATGGATGAAAAGATATTGGTTGCAATATTTTTCCTCAATAGGCATGTATTGACCGTGATATCAACAGACATGAAAGCGAGGAATCGACATTGTGAGTTGTATGAAGATGCTTAAAAATTTTCTCGGGGCATTTATGAAATTGCCCTATACTGGAAATCTGGCAAGCACTTCCTAGCTATTTCATCCTCATTGGGAATTATACGCAGTGCGCACCTCAAGAATCTCCGAAGAAAATCGAAGTCGGAATCACTCCAATTGGATTTTGAACGCGGAAGCGCTAGTTCGCGAGTAGCTGATCAGCTGTTTGGTTAATCTGCGAACACATGAGATATCATGAAAATCAGTGATCACTTACGGCGTTCACGTGACGGGGATTGTTTTTCACTAGTCATTTGAGTGACGAATTCTCACCTCAAACGTACACGTGACTTGTGAGTTATTCCTTCCACCGGATTAATTACAAACTGCTCATAATCTGAGACGAGCTAGAGTCGTTCTGTGGGTCAGTTGGAGAGCGCGGTACATCAGTCAAATGAATGTATCTGACTCCATCTGGAGCAATTGATGCAGTAAAATAATTTATTGGAAAACCGTGCCAGTTTTGCCTACTTATGAGAATGATTTTAACTTGGTGGGCCATATGGTTTAATGCTGGTTTTCGCGCGTGTCAGCACTTGGAGGGTGAAACAACCGGATTATTTATTATTCAGTAGTATTCGGTTCTTTGCCATCAGACATCTACGTGCGTTCTGCAAGGAGGTATTTATTGTGCCGGCACAACTGGTTTTCATTGGCCGAGTTCGGGAGCTTTAGAATGGCACTCACCGATAATCGAAACTTTATCTGCCGCGGAATTCCACCGTCGTCCGACGTCGGAAAACTTTGTTCAAATAAGGGTTGTCTGTCGCCATCATGGAGATCTTGGTATGGCTAATGGACTAAGGTGTAAACATCCGCGACAGAATGTTTATGCATGAAACGAAATTCCTCTAAGCGGTTGACCAATCATAGATGTGTCCGCTATGTACCGGGTATTACGTGGTCTCCCCATAATGTCAGCGGTAAACAGGTTTATCGGTCCTGACGTGTTTATCCGAATCGGAGCTGAATATGGCGCTAGACGAATGCATTTATTGCTTCTGTGGGCCGGTACAATTGAATCCAAGTACACGCACAAAGGCGTCTGATAGTAACCACCTCCAGATGTCTTAAACAGAACTGCATCTGTGGCGTGCAGGAACACTCGTCGGCCTTTGCTGAATTGATAGGCCTGGATGCATGCCGGCTTCTCCGTTGAGATTTTGGTGGAGCAGTAGTTTCCGGGCGTTCTGAGGTTAGTTTCAGCAATCTGGCCTTCCTGTTTAATCGCAACCGGGAGAATAACACCAAGGCGATGCTAAGAGAACGAACTTGAAAGTGTTTCCTTACGAGAATCGATCTTATCCGTCCTAGCATAGTCATTAGGAGGGGAGAGGAAAATTGTGTTATATATAAAAGCTTCTGTAGATCCTGCGGATACAGTGAGAAACACGTAGGTGATGATCCTCAAATGACTTAAAGAAAACTATTCTTGAATACAATATTCGTGCCTTTAATTCACTCACAGGAGTAGGGCTGGTCGAAACTGTGCTCTTAGTTCTCAGGGCTATGTGACATTACTTATTTGAACGTTCCGCGACTTACATTGCGTATCCACTCCCCATGTTTATACTCACATATCGGGTCTGAAGCATGGACTCCACTCGTCATTTCCCAGTGGAGCGTTTTGTCTGTTCGGGAAATTTTCAGTTGACAAGTGGGTATTACATCCAAAGTGACACCTGCGCAAACAATTGGACTTTCGATTTTGGTCGCACTTCAAATGAGAACACATAACCTCTTCAGCTGGCACACCTAAGCTGAAGCGCAACCAAAGCGCTGCCAAGCTGGCTCCTGAACATGGATGTGAACTTCCGCTTTCACATTATTCGATTGGAATATAGCAGCTATCTGCTGATCGTGATGATGTGCCCAGGTGAAAGGGACATAGGCACAGGAACAAAATGCCAAAAATATACGAATCACAAAGCGTCTGATAAAGGAACTTCAATGCAGACAAATATTAATTTTATGAGCATTCCAGTAAGTCTGGCGATGGATTTTCATGGAGGCTCGCGGATGAAAAAAGGCTGGACTGATTGTTCAGCAATACCTCGGTGCTTTCGCTCAGGACTTAGTACAGCGCTCGCAGGGGATTTCAACTTTGCGGTTCATGCTTCATAATGCAGCGGAAATAAACCAAGTTTAGTAGACGTTCAGAAGAACAAAAATGACTTACACAAGGGAGCGTACTCGGAAAGCAGACGGCCAAGTTGACAACTGAAAAGGTATGAAGTGAGTAAGCATATCAGATACAGCTATATGTGATATAACAAAGGCCCATATACCAAGATACCCGAAGCGTCCGACAAAGAAATTTCAAAGCAGACAAAAAATAATTTTATGCGCCTTTCACTAAATCTGGCGATGGATTTTCATGGGAGTTTCGGATGAAAAAGCGGTGAACCAATAGTTGAAAAGCAACTCGACGCCTTCGCTCATGACTTAGTACAATGCCTGCAGCGAATTCAAATTTGCGGTTCATGCATTCTAAATCATCGGAAATAAAACAACTTTAGTAGAATTTCCGAAGAACAAAATTGACTTACACAAGGGAAGCAGTTTGCCCAAGTTCAGAACTAAAAAAGTATGAAGGAAGTAGACGTATAAAATACAACTATATTCCTGTCGTTCTGCACTACGTTCGAAAATTGTTACCGGCCTCGCGTGAATTCATCAAAGGATCAAAGTAATACTTCGGTTAATTTCACGTTGTCAATTGTCAACGCAAATGTAACTGTATGGTGAGTCTTAGGTAGATGGATATTCGGGGTTTAAAATTCCTAAACGAACAGCCACCAACACAGGCATGCTCAGGTACATCTTCCTGAATTTCACGGAAAACTCGGAAGGGTCTGATCATATGTCACTGAACGTTTGCGCCATCTAGACACGAGCATGCGAGTTGCCTCTGAAGTGGTAGAAAGCTCAGAATTTATGCTGTACTCAGATGATGTGAGCAAATGAAGCGACATATTGAATCAATCGTCAGAAAGTCGTTTTCGGATAAAACGTGGATTCAACTCGCCATCGGTTTTGGGTCCAGGATAAATGAACTATAAACTGCACGAAGCTAAGCTAAGTTCTTGATGTCACTCAAAAAATGTAATCAGGTATTACTAAGCACTCAAAGAGC